GGCAACAAGCCGCCGCGCCGCGCAATGATTGGCTGAAGCGCCTCCGCCCCTGCGAAGACGAAGGGCGAAATTCTTCCAGAAAAGCCTCGCAGGCGGCCAGGTCAGGGGGCCGAGGAGCGGGGGGGGAAGGGGGGGAACCCCCATCCACGGGGAGGGGAGAGGGGGGGGACCCCTGACCGGGCCTTTACTCCCCCCCCAATTTTGATGCCGCGACCAATCGGAGCGCCGCTCTCATCCGCGCACCGCACCGCCGAGGGCCTTGCGGCCAATCAGAGCGCGTCTCTTATCGCGGCGCTCCGCCCCTCCCTGCTGGGGGAGGACGGATCGGGGGGGATACCGCGAGCAGCGCCCCCTGCCGGGAGGGCGGGGAATGGACGGGGGGGGGCGGACTCCGAGTGACGGGCAGTGATTTATCGGTGGGGGGGACGGGGGGGGGACAGTCGGTCCCCCCTTACACATGGCAGAGGGGGCGCGGGTCTGCCCCCCTCGGTAGCCCAAAACCCCTGGTGGGGGTGGCTCCCAGCCTCAAACCCTCTCGGGGTGTAATTCTCTGAAATTGTGGCAAAAATAGCATTTTGCCGCATTTTTCCTCATCTAGCAATTAACTAAAAGCCAAAGCAAGAGCTGTTAATACCTTACTGAGGGGTGGCCCACGAGGAAATGCCCCCAAAAGGGCCCATTTTGACCCAAAGGACCCAAACTGTCGCTGGTGCTTTTATTTTTATTTATGGTATATGTGTCTGAGTCCTAAATGTCAGCCCAGAGAAGGATAATTATGACTATTGTTTAGAAATTTAACTAATTGGTCATTCCAGTGGGGTTATGGTCAGTGCTTTTCTTAAAAGAGGTGTTTGTATTATGGTGGCATAGAAAAATACAGCTTTTCTTATTCCTTGTTGGACATTAGCATATGCTCCAAAAGCGATTTGATCTGGTAGTCCGGTAGTTATTTCATAAATAAGCCAATCTCTGTCTTTAGTACCATTTTAAGTTTCTTCCAAATGGCTTCTTGAACTGCCTGTACATAATAATCACTGTTCCACTGGAGCGTGGGCAGCACCGGGTCCTGCAATGGGCCATTGTGGCCAATTGACCCAAAAAACCAGTAACAGAGGGAGGGGAAGTTCTGGTTAAAGATGAATCACTGCTTTTACAAAAACTGGTTCTGCTCATTCTCTGCCCTCGGATAATGGCAGGAGGGTTAGATCTTGGTGACATTAAGCTTCTCCTCTGCTCTGGTGAGGCCCCACCTGGAGCACTGGGTCCAGTTCTGGGCTCCCCAGTTCCAGAAGGAGAGGGAACAGGACAAGAGGAAATGGGCACAATCTTGAGAATAAGAAGTTCCACCTAAAGATGAGGAGGAACTTCTTTGCTGTGAGGGTGGCAGAGCCCTGGCAGAGGCTGCCCAGGGAGGTGGTGGAGTCTCCTTCTCTGGAGACATTCAAACCCCACCTGGACACGTTCCTGTGGGACCTGCTCTGGCAGGGGGTTGGACTGGATGATCTCCAGAGGTCCCTTCCCCATATCCTTCTATAGATTTATTTTTTTTTTTAAAGCCTCCTAAATTAATAGGCAAAGGTGTGCACTGAAATCATCCCCTCTTACACTGAACCATCTCTCTCACGAGCAACGGAGGTAAAAAGAGAGATGTGAATTTTCTACCTTGTGCCCAGCAACTTAACCTTAAATTGTTAGACAAGAAAGAGTTTTAAAACTGAAACGAGCAGAATTACTTATCCAGTTAGAAGCTCATTTTTTTTTCCCCCTCCACAATCCTTTTTTACTCCTCTGGGCAGTTCTCTAATTTGAATTATGGGAGTTACAGAGTCAATTTATTCCTCTGGCCTGTAAGGCCAGTTTCAATTTCATTATATCATGCTGAAACATTGTGATTAACAAATAGCACAAGGAAATATATAAGACCAAAGAAAACTGCTTTATTTCCCATAAGCCTGAACAGCCTGAACAGTATTACTTTTGAAAAAAGAAAAATCAAAGTTGTATGTATTACTTTTGAAAAAAGAAAAATCAAAGTGCTTTCAGTGTTGCATTTTTATTTGGGGTTTCTGAGAGCCTCCCTGATACTTTGAAGAGTTACTGGCTGTGACACAAAGAGGCTTTTGTGCCATGTTTTCATACAGACCTGGCATTCTACAGCTGGGCACAAAACCACACAGGACCCCAGGGCTGTCCTTTCAGGGGTCACATTCCCAAAGTTATTCCACAGGTTATTTTATTTTTTCCTCCCCCTCTTCGCTTGGAAAGAGAATCAGAGCAAGTGTGTGGATGCCACAGGCTGCCAGATGCAGGAAGAGCACGTTGGTCCCATTCCTCATCTGCAGTATCTGGAATCTGACATCATGCCTATTGTATTTCCCACATTTCACATGTTGTTTCTGGTGCTCCAGCACAGGCTTTGTTTTTCTGATAGCCTCACGCTGCCAGAGAGAGAGAGAAGCCTTCACAGCAGGTTAATTTATTTATTTCTAATCTTCATATAATTCAAATGAGCTCCTCCCAGAGAGCAGCTCTGAGGGAAAAGACCTGGGAGTCCTGGTGGACAACAGGGTGCCCATGAGGCAGCAATGGGCCCTGGTGGCCAAGAAGGCCAAGGGCATCCTGGGGGGCATCAGGAAGAGGGTGAGCAGCAGGTGGAGGGAGGTCATCCTGCCCCTCTGCTCTGCCCTGGGGAGGCCCCATCTGGAGCACTGGAACCAGTTCTGGGCTCCCCAGTTCCAGAAGGACAGGGAACTGCTGGAGAGGGGACAGCAGAGGGCTACAGAGATGATGAGGGGAGTAGAACATCTCTCTGCTGAGGAAAGGCTAAAGGACTTGGGTCTTAGTCTGGAGAAAAGAAGGCTGAGGGGGGATCTGATCAACACCTCTAAATACTTCAAGGGTGGGTGTCAGGAGGATGGGGCCAGGCTTTTTTCAGTGGTGCCCAGGGACAGGACAAGAGGGAATGGGCACAAACTTGAACATAAGAAGTTCCACCTAAACATGAGGAGGAACTTCTTTGCTGTGAGGGTGGCAGAGCCCTGGCAGAGGCTGCCCAGGGAGGTGGTGGAGTCTCCTTCTCTGGAGACATTCAAACCCCCCCTGGACACGTTCCTGTGGGACCTGCTCTGGGTGGACCTGCTCCAGTGGGGATGTTGGAGTAGATGATCTCCAGAGGTCCCTTCCAACCCCATAGCATTCTATGATCCTAAGCTACATAAAATAACTTGCCTTTTGCCTGCATGGTCTGGAACAGCGCTGTAACCCTTTGTAAAATCCTCCTTTTCCCCTTCATCTCCTGGGTCACCAGATCTGTATCTCCCTCTCAGCATCACCTCCTTCATCCACTGCTCTTCCAGCCCTCCTCTGCTGGAGGTGTCCCCTCTTCCCTGGTTTCTCTCTTCCCTCTGCCCACTCCATGGCTCATTTTTCCAGGCAGCAGATCAACATCCTCCCCAGAAGTGCCATTTTCTCCCTCATTTCAGGCAGAAAAGCACACTGCAACCCCACCACATCTCATTTACTTGTGAATATCTTTTAAACCTCTTCCACTCGAGCCTCTTCATCCATTCCCTTCACCCAGTAAAACCACAGTCACAAGTCTTTGCCTTAAAAACATCTCCCACACCCTGACCACTGCCCCTTACAGCTCCTCACCAACCCTCCATCTCCTTTCTGACCTCCTAGAAGGCTTTTTGTCTCTTGGTGGCTGGTTTTGTTGGGGTTATTTGCTTTTTCTTCTTGACATTATCCCGTTTGGAGAAAGCTGCAGATTAAAACATGACTGAGAAAAATGCTCAAGTGCCATAAAGCCATTGGAGTTATAAAAGCAGATGATGCCTCGCTGGCCTTGTTGACCTCCTGGACTACATCTGTGCATGATAAGTAGGTACTTATTTAGATTTCCAAATTAAACTGTGCACGGAATGGGGCTGGACCCATCTAACTCCCCTCCTGCAAGTCAGCAGCTGGGCTGTGATTTAAAACCCCAATCTAGAAGATGGAAAAACTTCAGCTCTCTCCCCCCGTTTCTGTTAGAACCTGCTAAATTATAATGCAACTGAAATGTAATTACTTTACATCCTGCACGGAGAATACAAAACATGGTGAAGGTAGCAATAGGAGTTAACTGGTTTAGAGCAAGCCAGAGTAAATTTAATTAAGGTGGCCTCATGTAAAACACAGACAAATACAACAAAGTCTTCCTGTTTTGGTTCTCAGAGTCATTTCCTCCCCCCCCAAAAAAATTAACTATATATATATTTTTTTTTTAAGCAAGCTGAATTAATCCTCTTATATCACAAGGAGAGGTCTGACTGAAGATTAGTATGTTCTAAGAACATATAATAGTAATCTCCACATTTTATAAGTGATTTTTTTCTAAGTGATTTTACTTTAAATAGAGAAACATACTATTAGAGAAAGCATTTCATCACATGCACTCACTATTGGCTACCCTTTTGCTCTGTAACCCACCCAAATGGCATTAATCCCCCCATATTTAATGAGAAATACAGGCAGCAGGCCCAGTAATAAATGAGGAAGCAGTTTATATACACACACCCCCCCATAACCTTTACTGGGCATTTGGGAAAAGATATATTAAATCTTGGGAAAAGGGAGCTTTTCAGTTCACTATGAAAATCCCTTTGCTGTGGGATAAAAAGGGGAAAAGGGAGTTCTGGCAGCAAAAAAAAAAAATGCCTGCAGGGAAAAATACCTCTCCCACCCCAATAGCCCCAACTCCAGTAGAACAGTGAATTTTCCAGTGAAATATTTCAAGTTGCTGCTTCTGGTGTCTTGAGATCTGTGGTTTAGGGGAAGATAGAAGTCAACCCAGAGAGCTCAGGATCTCACAAGTTTTGGTGCAAACCGCCTGTTTGCTGGCTTTTCCAGGGTGAGAAAACGTATTTTTCATTTTTCTTGTGTGCAGCTGCTACTGGGGAGCCCTGGCTCATAAGCAAGGCAGCCAGGTGGTCATGGTACCAGTACATACCCCAGCTGTTTACTGGTTATGGCAAATAGAGGAACACCAATGCAGCAAAGTCATTTTTGGATTGCAAGATTTCATAATTATTGGGGAATTTCCCAAAAATCTGCACTGGACAGATGTAGTTCAGCTGCAAATCCAGGACAACTCCTCCTTCATTTGGGATGGCTGTTTATTTAGTACCTGCATTTCTTCCCTGGGAAAGATGTTCAACCATGATTAGCCTTACAATAATTAACTTTATTGGCTGATTTTTTCACTCATATCCAGGTGTCACCGCTATCCATTCTGGTTATGTAGAAGCATTATCATTAGTAGGAAATAATTTGTGCATCAACTGCAAAGTAAATACTGAGGCTCTTTGGATTTCCTCTCCATTAAGCAGGCTGGGATGACTCAGAAAACTATTAACAATGCTTTTTGATATTTCTCTGTTTGCTGCAAGGTTGAATATTCTCTTAAAATTATTCCTGTGTCTAGGCATTCTAATGAAGTCTTTAAAAAATCATCATAAAGTTTTACAGGATTTAAAGGATTTTTACATTTTTCTAAAAGGTTTCCCCCATCTCCAGCTCTGGGAAAAGACTTGTTAATAAATGGCTTTTTGGTAGTTGTTTTTGAAAAAGCAATGATGTAATAATAGTCAGTCTTACCCAGTCTCCATTAGGAAGGAAGGGATCTTGAGAGATAATCCTCCTGCTTCTGGATACACATAGTAAATTAAGAGAAACAACATGGAAAAAATTCAGTGATAACTTATGATAGACGTTTAGACAACAGCCACATTTTTTAAAAAAAAAATCATATTTTATGGTCTCGTTCAGTATATGTGCCAGCCATTAAACTCTGGTTTTCTGGGCTTTTTATGGAAGAGCAAAAAAATAAATCCCCTAGCTGAAAAGCCTCAGTATTATTTTCCAATATGCTTAAAAATAATTATCTCTCAGGTAGTCAGTCTTCATCCTTCCCCAGAAATTAAGAAATCTGATCTCACAGGGATAGGAGTTGGCAGGGGAGTTTCCAAGCCATTGAGTCCTCCTCCATCACATACACCACCATATATATTTAACCTGAACAGGCTTTCTCTTAGGAGAAACTGAGACTTTTGTTCTTACAGCCTTGAACAGGAGATTAAAAACATCACTGAAAACAAGTGGGTTTTTTTTTTCCAAGGCCCTTTTCTCCTTATTTGTTCTTGTGCCAACATTTTCATGTAGTTTAAATAGGGAACTTTTTTCTCTCCCCAGTGTTTACTCTCCTGGTATATTTATAGACAGCAGTCAGAGCCTCTCCTGAAGTTTATTTTGTTAGGCTAAGCTGCATTTCTTTTCATCTTCCCTGGTATAACACATTCCTCATTCCCCATCTGTCTTACCAGCCCCTCTGCTGGAGTAGGGCAATAGGGCTCTTAAAAACCAGCTTTCATCTTACGCAATACATTTTCTAAGGCAGGTTTAAAAACCTTTGTTGATTTCAAAGGATAAAAAAAACCTAAACTAACTTCCCTGGGAAGTTTCTAGCCCTTATTCTGGATCTTCAAGCTTGAGAAAGAGCTGAACAGGTACAGTCTCACCCTTCAGCACCTAAACAAGATGAGCAAGGCTTACCTAGAGATAGCCATTGGAGAATCCAGGCAAACTCAACATAATGAGGCAGCTCTGAGGATCAGATAAGAATTAAATCTACAGATCATGATACAGCCTGGTAAAGACACAAACTCAGTACTCATTTCTCAAGTCTATAGTCATAAGATCAAACATCAACCTGAGAAGTGAAGGTTGTGACCCATACCAAGGTCCAACCAACCATAAACTGAAGCCCAACACTCTTCTGGGATTATTCAAGCTTGGAATGAGGTCCCTGGGCTCGGCTTAAATAGAGCTCCTCAGCCTGTGGGTGGAAGCCCCAGGTGAAGCTGCTCAGGGCCAGTAAGATTTATTAGTGGCCTCTGGTCCATACTGGAGTTCTTCTTTGTTGCTTGGGTGCTGTAGGGAGAGCTATGTCCTTACATGAGCTCTGTTTTTAATGAAGTAGGGCTTTTATTTTATTTTTTTTTTCCTGAAGTTTTGTTTTAGATTCTGTCCTATCTGTTATATGTGTATTGTTGTACTTTTTATTGAGACCTTGTGGTTCTGGTTCATAACAGCCCAATTATTTTGGAGGTGGTTTTGTGCTTTACTCCTTTAATTTATCATATTCTCAAGTTTTTTCTCAGTCTTTTATCACAATAATCATCAAGTTAGCCCTTTATAAATGATAAAACATTCCTGAATAGTTCTTATAGGGATTTAGTGGTTTAAGTGGAAGAAAAACAATTTTTGCACTATCAGTGGTGTTATATAGTTATCAGCATCTTTGGTGTGGGAGCCTCTGGTCAAGTCCCTGTTCTTGCAGCACTCAGGGGCTCTATTGATTAGATTTTAGATATTAGATATTGCCTTGGATTGTGTTCCAAATATTTTTGCCCTGTGTTTCTGTGTGGATGGATGTGTCCTTCAAGAGGAGGGTTGTCTCAGTAGAGAAGTGTTTGCTTTAGTGACTGATTAGTTGAAAGGAGGGGAATGTTTTGCAACAAAACTGAGTTTGGAAGGTAAGTATATTCCACCCAGGCTATAGATATTGGAATGCCTTTGAAAACAAGTGTTTTAGGAAAACAGTGGGTGTCAAATAGAGTGAACATATAGCGAGAGCTAAGGTTTATCTGGGGGTTTGATGCTGCCTTATCTTTAAAGCCAACCTTAAAAAAAATAGTATTGTCTGAGACAGCTGTTAATACTGAAGCCTCAGTCTCTGCCCTGGTGTAGGTGGTTACAAATGGGCAAGTCCTGTTGCCAGCCAGACTGGAAAAACATGACAATTTGCTGCCCAAAGCAGGGAATCCTGGCACATCCTGTGCTGTGCTGCAGACAAATGACACTGGAGGAGGGATGCAGATACTGTTGGCTGAGGAGAAATAACACATCAATCCACTTCCCCACAATCTTTTAGTGAACTCGACATAACCCAATTCTTTTGACTCAGTCTTATTTATTTTTTTCTTTTTTTTTTTCCCCTTGCAGGATGTACTCCCAAGCTCCTGTGATGTTGTTCAGGTGCACCCACACCTTGTAGATCCCAGGTGTGCCCAGGCACCTGGCCAGCTCAACCCAAAACAGAGGGGTTTTTAGGTGTTTTCTTCAAAGCGGCGGATTTACACAGCGAGGTGAGAGCCTTCTTTCAACCCCAGTTATGACAGCACATCCCATTTCTCTGTTATTACAGAATTGTTCAACTGTTGCTTTGAACCCTTGTAACCTCAGCCTGTGCAGAGTGGAAAAATTCAGGATTTGCTCGCCTGAGCGTGAGGCTGTGGTTCACAATCACATATTTGCTGTGGTTCCAGCTGAGAGGGCTTGTGTGTCCTGTGTCATGTTAGGTTTGCTTTGCCTTAATTTTGAATGGATTCTTCTGGAGCTTTGTTAAGGAGAGTGTTGCTGTCAGAGCAGAATTGGTATTCCCCTCTGCTCTACAATCCATTCGCTTGGGAAGGTGGAATTTAATTCCCAGAATTTGACCCCTGATTTTCAAAATGCTCTGAAATTTCCTTTTTAGTGAATTTGCCTGAGTAACAGAGGGCCACTCTAATAGCAAGGGCATTTCTTAAAGCAAATTTGGAGGCATTTTGATGAAGAGACTTGCCAGCTGCTGGCCCATCCAATCAGTAGCCAATTTTCACACTGAAATGTCTTTTTTGCCACTGTGGTAAGATTGTCTGGAAAGTTCTTTTTTCAGTTGCTGAGGTATTTAGGAAGGCCGACAGGAATACACTCAAGATGACTAGATTTTACACTTCGCAGATCAGGCTGATAAAGCTGAATTCATCTCCTTGGTGAGTTCTGTTTCACCCGAGAACACCCTGAGAAGTTGAATGAGCCACTTCACATCCTTGAGGTCCTCCTCAAATGCCAAAAATCGTAGTGAAACGTCTCCTTCTGTGTTAATCTTTGTAATGAATTCCAGAGCTGGCTCCCTTTCTCTGCCCTTGCATCCCTAATTCCCCGCACAATTTCTAGGAAATCTACTTTTATTTTTTTTCCTTCTTCTTTTTTTCTTTCTTTATTGCTCCTTTTATTTTTTTTCCTTCCCAAGTGTTGCCCTTAGGTAGTTTTATTCCGCTCCGTTCACTTTCTCTTACAGTGGGTGTAGAAAATCTAGAAAAAAAAACTTCAGAAAGTACTGTTAGGTTTACATTGAGCAACTGCAACACAGCAAAGCTACGTTAAAGGTGTAATTAAGACTAAAAGGCAATTCAGTGTTTCTGTAACACCTGCTGGGGCTTTATCTCCTTCCCTAGTCTTTCACCAGGTTCTCTTTAACAGCTGAAATGTTGGTTGAAAACACAAATCCAAAATGGAAGGGAATGAAAGAGCGCTCTGCCACACAGAAGGCAGGCTGCTTTCACCATGGGATGCTCAATAGTGAATCACACAATTGTTGAACAGCCATTGGCAAGTGTTTTGAGTCGGAATAAAGACTTAACTTGGGCCGTATTTTTCCTTCCCTTACTTTAAAGAAGCCTTTTTACATTGCAGGAACCTTTAACGAAGCTAACGACTTAACGTAGCCATCAACTCATTGGATTCTTCCTTTTAATTGCTATTCTTCTTAGATGCTTTTTTGGGTAAATGATCTCCTGCCCCGTGCCAGATGCTGTTTTCATACACAATGAAGTAATAGTCTTTTGTGAGTGATATCACAGTATTCTACCATCAGCCCTTGTTGTGACTTCTCAAATTTAGCGCGCTGAAATACATTCTTTGTTGGTTGTTTGGGGACTTTTAGATCCAGGGTTTGATTGAAGTCAGTCTGTAACAAAAAAAAAAAGAGGGAACACAGCCCGGAGAACTTGGGACAGTATGGCGTTTGTAGAAAAACATGGAAATAAAAGAAGGGCAAAAAGGGAAAGTTCAAATATTTGATATATTCTGCCTCTTCTGGGAGGAAAAACTTGGAATAAGGCTTGTGCAATTTGTAGTTTTTCAGGTTTTGGGATGTTGTGGGCATTTATTTGCTGAGGGATCTGCCCATGGATGCTGGATCAGGAGGTGGGGGCTGGAACCCGGGCTGGGGTCTGCTCCCGTTTCACGCCCACGTGCCAAAGTCAGTGTGTCCAAATACAAATAAATTCTACTTCTTCAGCTAAATCACAGGATTAGGCCCTTCTAAACTTAGAAAGCCTGCAGTTCCATGTCAGACGTGTGATGGGTGGGTTTCGTATCGTGATGACACAGTTCCCTCCTCGGCTGGTACGAGGTTTATTCCAAGGGGTGTTATGTGTTTGTGCCGGCGTCCACGCGCATCGAAAGGAATTCTTTTGAAGGGTTATGTAAAGGTATATTTTCCAGAAGACAGAACAAATACAAGGGATCCAGTTGAGTGAGTTACGGCCTGATCACGCAAGGACTGGAGAACTCTTGAATTTTAAGCACAGAAAAGAGCCATCACATCCCCCAGGTCCATGTTGGGGTGTGTCTCTGTGCCCACATGTGTGTGTTTAAGCATAAATTGATCTAAGGACATAACTATACATGCTTATTTTTCCCCTCTTTTTAGATGTAAACTGGTAATGATGGAAAAGCAAGTGAAATGGAAGACGTTCCTTTTGAAATCGGTGAGTAAATATTGGTTTAAAAACTTTGCTGAGCTTTGGATGGCTCTTTAGCCCTTCCTGTCCACAAAGGAGCAGGCAAACGGGTCTGCCAGCCAGATATATTTTCAGGAAGTATGGAAAAGGTCTCATTAGACTTCTTTTAAGAGAAAAGAGGGAGATATTTATAATGCCTGATAGAATATTGATATATTTAAATGCGCTGATATGCGAGATTTTAAAAAATAGAAAAGGTGGTCAAATGTTGCCCTCATTGGAGTTGCGCTGAGACTGCACAAGGTAAAAATTTAGCCAAAAGCAGTTTTGAGAGAAACTATTAAAATGCAGATAAATGAAGATGTCTGGCTGACCAGAGGAATCTGTATTCATGTGGCGAATGTTTCATTACTCACACTGCAATGCTTTCTGAAGTATATTTTTGTATCATCATTTCCCATTTCAAATTCAGCTCTTAAATCCCAAAAGGGAATTAACTACCAGCCATTTGCATTTTAAAGGGAAAACTCAAACCTCAATAGAGTGCTCTACTTAAGACTCCTTTTATATAACTTGCCAATGAGCTACATCTCGGTGGGGACCTTGGGGAGTCAACCAAATGAGTGAGACAAGGCAGGAAAACCTAGAATTGGAAGAAGCCTTGTAATTTCCTCCAGAAAATGCAGAATACGCTGGTTTCGGTGTGAAGCTCCTGCAAACTGGAGGTTTTGTTATTATGGGGCAAAATGCCTTTATTTTTGGGGGGGAAAAAAAGGACCTTCAAGCTTTGGCACAAGCTAGAGCACAGGTTATTCATTTCCCGTGCATGAGGGAAAAATCATAGCTTAAAAAAGTGGCAAAATAAAAAAGGCAATTTTTAATTCAGCCCTTTGCAGCACACGGGACGAGACAATCAGAAAGTTACAGGAGAAGTGACACGGGGTTTCTTAAGACAAAGATCCCTCAGGGGGGATGACTCATCTTCTGAGGAGATGTGATTCAGGAGAGGCATCAGGGGGCTGTTCTGCCCCCGGGGCCACAGGTGGAAGCTGTAGGCGGCCCACTCCTTCCCTGGGAGACACTGGGATTCATCTCCTACTCACATGTCCCCGTTCCCTTCGGCTGTGTCGTGCCTTTACTCAACTGAGCCAGACTTCAAATACATGGATTTCTTAATTTCTCATCGCCAGGAGAACCTATATTCTAACTTCTTGCTGCCCTAGGAGTTTGGAAGCTGGGAAAGAGCTGCTACTTCTCCTCTTAGGAAGCTGGGAAAGAGCTGCTACTTCTCCTCTTCTGGTGGCCCTCCAAAAAACTGCACGTTTCCAAGGTTATGGAAAAAAAATCCAGTGTAGAATATGAAGTTTTGTGGCCCTCCAAAGAACTGCACGTTTCAAAGGTTATGAAAAAAAATCCAGTGTAGAATATGAAGTTTATAAACTTCATAAACTCAGAATATGAGGTTACAGACTACTCTCTAGTATTATTTATTTGTATTTGGGGCATTTAAATTAAAAGTTGGACAGCCAGGTTTGCAAATATGAATTCCTGTGCCTGGGAATTCCCAAATCCCACTGATTTCCACCCACCCCCTGACTCTGGGTTGAAGATTAGGCTGCTCCTCAGCCCTTCAGCTCCTTCCCAGCATGTGCTCTGGTGCCCAACTCCCTGCTCTCGTTTCAAGACACTAAAATAAATATTCCTGAGTTGATATAAGAGGAATGTCGGGGTGGTTGGGAGCCACCAGGCTTCTAATGATGACTGTAACAGGAAATGTACCTTAACCTTTGTTTAAATAGATTAATGCAAACTGCAGTCATTTACGCTGATATCAAATTAAAGGAGGGAGTTTCGGGTGGAGTTATTTTGCCTTCAAGTGCACGGGGAAAAAATAAGCATTTAAAAATATCACCTGGCTGATGGAAAACAACAGTTCCCAGTAATAAAGCTTTGCAGGATCAGACACGACGAGGTCTCCCAGATGTTTTAAAATTCCTTTTTGTCTGTTCCTGTGTCATGAGTTACTTCCCAACACACCCCGTTGCTCAGTGTAGGCACTGAATCATTCCCGATTGCGGAGGGAGGGGTAGATTTTTTTTGTTGTTGAATTGCACTTATCTTCAAAGCGGCTGGAAATGAGTCTACGTTTATTCAGCAGGACAAGTCCTGAGGTTTTTTTTTATATTTGGTGTTACTCGTTGCCGTGCCATTTGTTAAGATGATTTGGCTTTTAATCCACCGATGATTCACGACTGAATTCTTCGATCAGGAATCAGAACTCTCGTTTCTCTTGCCAGTAACACGAGCCATTTTTATTTTCAATTTCAGGTTTCTTTTACGGGACAAAAATAAATTAGGAGCAGAAAGAAGTTAAAATCGTTCCTCTCGAGCAACTCTCCTGCATCAATGCTTAATCCTCCCAATCTGTGTGATATCATTAATCATTCTACTCTAATATTTGACGCACGCAGTTGTGGGACAAATTCAGATCTAATAGGAAGGCTGCAATAATACTGACTTCTGTGGAACTGCAGCTAATTATAACATATTTGAATTTTCATCTTTCATGAAAGACCTCTATAAAATGAACAACCTTTCTCACTACTGAAATGAGACTGGCAAGCAGAGGAGGGGAAAGAACCGTTGTCCAAGGACAACAGGAGAACTCTTAGCATCGTAATGAGCCTATATTTGTAAAAAATACACTCGGCTGTTGGTGATTTTTTGTTAAATTATGCTTTTTTTTTTCTCTTTAAGCTATAATACTGCTTCTCTACCACATAATGCACATTTAAGTTGGAATGGTTTGGTTGCCTTGATCCTGCCATCTTTGTAGGTGATGCCATCTTCCTAAAGATGACAGGATGCCTCCAGCCTGTTATAGGAAGATATTAGGATGCAAGAGGGTGAGAATTTACTAAATATTTTCTGCAATCCAGCTTCTCCTTTCTCTGTGTCCCTCCCCAGAGTCTTGACTATGCCTTTATTTGTAGACCTCTAGACCTTTTGAGTTTCGTTCCTCTCGAGCAACTCTCCTGCATCAATGCTTAATCCTTCCATTCTGTGTGATATCATTAATCATTCTACTCTAATATTTGACGCACGCAGTTGTGGGACAAATTCAGATCTAATAGGAAGGCTGCAATAATACTGACTTCTGTGGAACTGCAGCTAATTATAACATATTTGAATTTTCATCTTTCATGAAAGACCTCTATAAAATGAACAACCTTTCTCAGTGCTGAAATGAGACTGAGACTGGCAAGCAGAGGAGAGGAAAGAACTGTTGTCCAAGGACAACAGGAGAAGTCTTAGCAATGAGCCTATATTTGTAAAAAATGCATTCGGCTGTTGGTGATTTTTTGTTAAATTATGGTTCTTTTTTTTCTCTTTAAGCTATAATACTGCTTCTCTACCACATACTGCACATTTAAGTTGGAATGGTTTGGTTGCCTTGATCCTGCCATCTTCGTAGGTGATGCCATCTTCATAAAGATGACAGGATGCCTCCAGCCTGTAATAGGAAGCTATTAGGATGCAAGAGGGTGAGAATTTACTAAATATTTTCTGCAATCCAGCTTCTCCTTTCTCTGTGTCCCTCCCCAGAGTCTTGACTATGCCTTTATTTGTAGACCTCTAGACCTTTTGAGTTCCCTGGGTCAGGTTAGGTGTTTGCCACCACTCTTTGAAGAAGCATCAAGCATTGTTCTGCCTCGAGATCCTGCCAGTGCCCAAAGCCTCACATCCCTCTGAAGGGAGGACATGAGCAGCACCAGCAGAATATACAAATACCTAGTTTTTATGTTCTGAAAACTGATGGCTAGCTAAAAAGGTGGTTAGGCTCTCTTCTAGTCTTGCATTTGGGATATAATCTGAGTGTGGGGTCATTATTCGATTTAATTATGCATCAGAGGTAATTTCCTTTCCTGGATAGTGAATCCTACAGATGTGCTGCTCTATTCCAAAAAACCTTGTGTCCTTCAGACACTGTCTTGGGCCGTCTTCCTCTTCAGGCAAACAAATTGTCCAGTTAAATTCACCGTGATGATTGGCTTTGCCCTCCATCTAGAAAGTGAGAGGAGATCATAGACTGAGCGCATTTTCCGAATGCTAAGATCCATCTGCAGAGTGTGGAAGGAGCAGGGGCTTCCTTTAGCAGCCACACTGTTGTTTTCCTGCCCTTAAGCATCTTGGATTGATGTATTTTCCATTTTCCAATGCGTTGCCACCTTTTCTGCGCTGACGTGCTTCAGCAAAGCAGTAACATCTCTCAACCTTAAAAGAAGGAAGTTTGCATTTAAGGGAGAGGGAGTTATTAACGTTACGATTGTCACCTTAACAGTCTGTTACACACTGTAGGGAGGGATCGTGCTGTTTGTTTAAATTTCCCCCTAGAAAAATCTCAGATCACCTGCAGGAGAGCCAGATTAACGTTTCGGGTCCAGAACAGAGCGGTAGGAAAATGCCCATCAAGAGTTAAGGATTCATTGATACAATAAAGGGTAGACTTTTCCCCTCTTCCCTGCCAAGCCCGTTTAAAGCTGTCTTTGAGTAGAAACAGAAAGGCTTGTTGTCCCCCCACTATTTACGGCGTCGCTTCTTTTTCACAGATTCTGGTGCTGGTTTTCCTCGTGCCTGCAATTACTCCTCGTAGCCCTTTTTTTAAGGTACAACTCCATTCTCGATGCATCGTGTCCTTAGTTATTCTCTACCCTTTCACTTTTCTAAACCTCACTGTATTCCCACAGAAATGACCTTTCTTTTTTTAAACTCCCATCTCCCCAGAACGTCTCGGCATCTTTTTCTTTCTCTTTCTAGGGAACCTCTCCATCCTCTGTGTATACCTTGTATCTTAAGGCCTGTTTCTCCAGTGGTTTCCCTCATCTTGTTGCTGCTGGGCTTTCTACACCTCCTCCACAACGCAGTGTCCTTTGGAGTTAGAGGTAGACAGCTGAGCTGCAGAACTGCAGAAACCCTGGATTTCCACAAGGAAATTCTGCAGCCAAATAGGGATGTCCAATTCCAGAGCAGGTTGGCAACTTTCTGATGCTATTTATGGGGTTTGGAGAAGTCTGTTTTCCCGAAGGCACTTGTAGAGCTGGATGTTGGCTCAAGATTTCATTGACTAATAGAAGTTTTGCATGGCTTTATGCCCCTCATAAAACCTTATGAACAGATAGAGGTCTTCTCCTAAGCACAGTATGGGTCATGATGAGCTGTGGCCATCAATTGTCTATCACTTAAGCAAGTTGGGTGGTATATCTTTTCGAGAAGCACCATTTAGTGTTCCTTCTTAGCTAAATTGTGCCTGAATAGGGATTTGTCTTTACTCAAGCCCACCAGACACTGTAGTCATTTTCTAAATTCAGTTTGTCTTCTACCTGCTAAACCTGAGTCTGACTTGGCCCTACCTCTGCAACCTTGGACTTGCACATTTCTGTCATGCAGAGCTGGTCCGAAGGATGTGATCTGCCGTTTACATCTTCAATCAAGGTTTTTAATTAAAAACCGCTGCGTAGCATTACCATTCACGGACTAGATCAATTTTATGCTTTAATTTGTGCAGTTTAAGAGAATAGTGAGAATATTCAAAAACTTTCTCACTTCTGTGAACGCATCCTCCAGGTATTGGCAGGTTCTCAGCACACCAGTTTGCTAAAGTCGGAGCTCCCAGTGGCTTTAATGGTAACAGCCACACAGAATTACAGAATGCTGTGGGGTTGGAAGGGATCTCGGGAGATCATCCAGTCCACCCCCCTGCCAGAGCAGGGCCACCCAGAGCAGGTCCCACAGGAACGTGTCCAGGGGGGGTTTGAATGTCTCCAGAGAAGGAGCCTCCACCCCCTCCCTGGGCAGCCTCTGCCAGGGCTCTGCCACCCTCACAGGAAACAAGTTCCTCCTCATGTTTAGGTGGAACGTCTTCTATTCAAGTTTGTGCCCATTTCCTCTTGTCCTGTCCCTGGGCACCACTGAAAAAAAGCCTGGCCCCATCCTCCTGACACCCACCCTTGAAGTATCTATAGGTGTTGATCAGATCCCCCCTCATCCTTCTTTTCTCCAGACTAAGACCCAAGTCCTTTAGCCTTTCCTCAGCAGAGAGATGTTCTACTCCCCTCATCATCTTTGTGGTTCTCTGCTGTCCCCTCTCCAGCAGTTCCCTGTCCTTCTGGAACTGGGGAGCTCAGAACTGGTCCCAGTGCTCCAGCTGGGACCTCCCCAGGGCAGAGCAGAGGGGCAGGATGACCTCCCTCCACCTGCTGGTAACATACATTTTTTTTCCACAGATGATTTTTCCTGGGGAGGACTGGTCACAATATGAAGGGAAATCTGTTATTCTTTTCTTTAGGTAGTGAACTGAGTGCTGATGGCCTTGGAGGGGGTTGTGGTGTGTCTGCAGTGTAGCACCAGGAGTGGAGGTGAGAAAGAAACCGAGGTGGTACCTCCTGCTTATCTGTGAGACTTCCCTGAAAGCCACCAGATGGAAACTGCCTTTCGGAGTAACGAGGATAATGCTGGTGTAATCATGGCTGTCTCCATAAAAACACTCCCAAGAGGATCAGGTACCTGTTTGCTGTGTCGTGCCTGCATACGGGGATGCTGTTTTCTTTTAATGGCCAATATCCAATCATAAATTATTATTTTTAATACGTTGGTGACAGAGGACGAAGTGTGTTCTGGTGGTGCTGCTGCTCTGTCCCCCGACGCCAGCACCACGTGGCCGTGGAAATTCAGACTCTCCCGAGGACCCTCCTGTTTTGCATGTCTCTAATTAGACATTCATGACTTGATTTCAAGTGGTGCTCGGTGACGTGCAGCCAGTTACTCCTATTTCTGCTCTGCCCCAAAACCTTAATCTTCCCGTACCCCAAATTAACAAGCCCTTTTTGATGCTGTTGCAGCTTTTTCTCCATCCTCTAAATGCGTTGGCTCACAGAGGGGTTGTGAACATCAATTCTCACCAGGCACTATGTAAATATTAAGTATTAAAAGTATATTAATTTATATAGCACTTTGAATGCTATATAAATTCAGCCTCAAATGAAAACCCTTCTCCAAAGATTTATAAAGAGCTTGTACTTTTTGGCCTGGGGAGAAAGAAAAATACCTCCTTTTTTTTTTTTAATAAGAAAATGGAAAAGCTTAACTGGGAACATCCTGTTATTTACTCACGTATTCATACTGCACAATAAAACATTTACATTAAAATGTATCCCTTCGCAAAAAGAACTTGTTCACTCCATTTTCCAACTGAGTTTGGCCAAGTTGAAAAGAAAATTATATATGCCAGAGGACTGCAGTAAAAGAGATTTAAGGGTTTTCAAATACTATAAAAAAGAGACTGTAATAAGTGACTAGTGGACCAGTCAGCTGTTTTAATTAAAACTGGGCTGCTTATTGATCTGTCGCACAGATTTACCCCCATCTGCAACATTTCGGCAATATTCCCTTCAACCACTTCAGAAAATAGCGCTTGTAAGAGAACACTAAAGAATATAGAAGTTGAAAATGGAAATGTTTGATATCTCTGCGACATTTTGTACAAAGATCTGGTTTTTTTTCCACCCCATGTTAAGCACCTTACGTATTTTCATACAATGGAAGTGAATATGTAGAATCTATAGGATACTAATTTTTGGACATAATTCTAATGGGTTCACTGATAGTTACTGCTTTAAGAATTCCAACAGGAGTCTGAAATTTATTGGTTTGTATCAGATGTAGATCATACGGAACTGGAGAAGTTGGGGATGTATCATGGCGATTAAAAGCCTTGTGTTTAATTAAACTTTACTGTCTTTACAGAGGTGCTGTCTTCTTTTCCAGGTTGTGGGAGGCCTCAGTGTGGGCAGCAGGATGGAGCAGCCTATGATTATTCTTCAATAGCTGTATTTTAAGATAAAAAAAAGCCTAAGAAAAAGCACAACTTGTGTTGGTTTTTATTTGAAAGCAAGAGGGGCTCGAACTTGCTGGTAGTGGCATGGGTCAAGTGTTATGAGAAATTGGGAATAAATGTCGAGAGGGTTTTATTTTGAGAGTGGGGAAACCTGATGTTCTCTTTAGATGAGGTGAACCCCCTCATTTTCCTTAAATTACCTCAGGAACCCCCCTCCTATGGCGGAGGTGGGGAGAAGGAGGGCTTTTAGCCCACACACCCCACCACAGCCCTACCACCCTTTAGGCTCCTCGACCTTTCAGGCGGAGGGTTAATTTCTGCAATTGCTTTACAATAAAAGAGGGGTGGAAAATCCCCCTGGGGTGTTTCCCTTCAGGGCCTCCCCGCCGCCTCAGCCCTCAGCTGTGGCCGCCATTTCCCGGCGGGCGAGGGAGGAGGGACCTCGGCCCCCCCGTGGGCGGGGCATCCTGCGCTGCGCCTCCTCCTATTGGCTGGCAGCGGGGAAGGGAGGCGCGGCTCCCTCACCCAGCCGTCCTTACTCACCCGGGGGCGGGACAAATGGTCCTCATCGGCGCGGCGATTGGTCGCCAGCCGGGGCGTTGCGTGACGTCGCTCCCCCGCCCGGCCGCCATAGGGCAGAGTGGGCGGGGAGGGGCGGGGCTTGGCGAGGCGGCTCCCCAGGCGGCCGCCGAGGCCGCAGTAGCGCTTGGGCGGCGGCGGAGGCGGAACGACCATGGGCTCCGCGCTGCGCTTCCCCCTCCTGCTCCTCCTGGGGCTGGCCGGCCCCGCCGCCACGCTCGCCGGATACATCGAGGTGGGTTAGGGGGCTGTGGGGCGACCGTTGAGGGGCTCCTGAGGCGGCGGTTGGGGGCGCGCGGGGCGGCCGTTGGGGGCTCGGCAGCACCCGCCGCCCTTCTCCCCCTCAGGGCGGCTGAGGCGGCGGGTGCGGCCCCGCTGCCCCCCCCCACCCCCCCCCGCATTGTCTGAAGGTGGTGGAGAGGCGGGTGGGGGGTGTCAAATAGGACCGGTGGGACTTTTTTTGGCCGTTTTAGGGTGGTTTTTTGGTTGGTTTTTTGCTTTTTTCGCTTCCCTTCCCGCCTCACGCGGCGTTATCGCCCGGGCTCAGCCGGCGGCGGGGCTGAGGGGGTGAGGGAGGGGGGTGTGCGGGGTGTGGGGGTGTCTGTGTCCGCATGGAGGGACCTGGAGCCTCGACCAGCTTCTCCCAGACCTTCTCGGGTTAATCGGGGGTGGGTTGGCCTTTTCCTTCTGTTTTCTGGAAGAAAAACCTCCAACCTGATACCGCCGGGCTCTTACATGGCATGTTTTAGCAGCTTCATTTCACTGGGATGCTTAGGGTTGGTTTTGAGGGTTTTTGGGTTCCTATTTTTTCCTTTTTTTGAGTGGTGACCTCTGCATTCTTGGCACGGCAGCAAGAGCCGTGAGCTTGAGATTGGTCTAGAAGCTCAGGAGGGTATTAGAGGGCAATTTCGTAGGGAAAAGCCTCGCTTAAACGAATCCATTTGGTCGCTATCCGCTTGATAGATCCCGAATAAATCTTCTGGTTTGGAATGTTCCCTTATCTTTCGGAGGGGATGCTTCAGCCAAGTGTAAAGGGCATTAATTTAATATAGAAATGGCTTAGACGCCGCAGTTTGTATATACACACACGCACACACCTATAAGAATATATATTATATTTGTATCTCCATGCATGAAAGTAATTGGAGGGGGAAATCCTGACTTTATCCCTAAAAATAAAAACTTTATGCAACCTGGCTATCTAAAGGACGAGACGGTTAGGGAAAAAAATCTTTTTGCCATGTAAAAACTTTACGCTATAACCTACCTATGGGAGTGAAACAGCAAAACAAAGAGCAAAGTACAGGCTGAGCTTCAGACATAAATGGAGTTTAATCATCTACGCCTGGATGTTGTTTTGGAAACGCGAAAGAGCTGCGTCCGTCTTGTTTATGTCCTGGGTTATTTAAGGGATGAATAGAGAACAGGCTTGTGGCTACCTGGGAATAGCATGATCTGACAGTTCACAGTTAAATTTAACAAGCTCGGTTAAGCAGAACATCTACCTCGGTGCAAAAAATCTGAAGCCTGAAGCTGGTGGTAATTATTAATTGGCAATAAGCTTGGTTCTTTAATATTTTTAATATACCTTGTGTGAGATTAGTGCTGGAATGAGCAAAAATCATTGACTAGCCTCTTGAGGAGTGATATTCTCCTTACTCTGTAGCCTAAATATTCCCTAAATTGATGGAATGTGGCGATAATTGTTTTTGGAGATACTTGTGGGGAGGTTATCCTGCAGGAAAGGTAATTTGGGGCTCTGTAGGGCTGCTCCAAAGGGAGCCTGGCGTTGGCTAGCTGAGGTCACTTGGCATTGCCCCCCTGGCAGGGGCCAGTCCTGGTTAAATCTGATCTCTTCCACCTGTTTGGAAACTCCTTCGGTCACTTCCTCTGCTGTATCCGAGACAAATTCAGCTGCTATGCACATCCCTTCTGGAAATTAACAGACAGGCCAGCTTGGAAAACCAAATCCAGCTGTAATTTCATTCCAAATCCTCGTGTCTGTGTGAAGAAGTGGATCCCAGGATGGGCAAAGGGTTTGGCACGGAGGGGATGGAGGCAGCGTCACACCTGGGTGCCCCAGGAGGGGCTGGTGACCCCGGAGAAGGGGGGTGTTTCATCTTTGAAAAGGATGGAAATGAAACCCTTCCCAGAGGGTGGTTTTCCAGGCTGCTGGTTGGCTCCCAGTTTGGGTACTGGTGCCGGCGTGGGGTTATGCCACTGCAGCAGCCTGTCCTCGCCGCCTCCTCCATCTGCTCAGCCCTTCCTCTGGCAGGATCTGCATCCTCTGGAGGCCACCTTAATCCACTGACGTGAAATGTCAACGGTGACATTTTATTTTTAATTCTTATTTTTTGCTGCCTCCTCTCCCGACATCTTCGCCGGGGGGACTGCAGCTCTCCGGTCTCTATTGCTCAAGAACAGCCTCTCCCTGCAGAGCTTAGGAAACGAAATGGTTACTCTTCTTGGCTTTTATACTCTGAATTTTACTCGGTGCTGTCAGGTAACGTGATGAAAAATATGCAACAGCTTGATTTATATTTTTAACAATAAAGAGGATGCTTGAAAGCCTGGTGGATTTTAGGAGAATACGTAGCAATGTCTGCAATTATTAGTTCAGTTGGATTGGCACAGTCCCATTAGTTGGATTTTCTTTCGCTTGATTATCTTACAGTCCCTGTCCCTAGAACACCCACTAATCTTCTTATCAACTACAATTTGTTTTTCTTTCTTTCCTTCGCAGAGGAGTGGGAGTGGCAGATATTTGTTGGATTGTTTTTTTTTTTAATTATTGGTATGTGAACCTTTGAATAGGGCGTTCCCAGGGGCCTGTTGGTGGTGACAGTCAGTCTCCCCTTCAGATCCTCCTCTGGTGATGGCAGATAACCTTTGACAACCTCTTTTCCATATGAATTTAAATAGAAGGGTTTAGAGAAATCATCAATACCTGCTAATTAATGGTTGTTTTTTTTCCATAGTAGTAGGTGTCCTGGGCTTGTGTCTGAATTCAGTGCTGTGTTTTGCTTGCGAAGTCCCCGAGAACTTCAAATAGGACGCTGATGCCAAGTGGAAAAAGAAAATAAATCTATTCTAATTTAATCTCCAGTCCGATGATAAACTACTTCTGCTGTGCCCTCAAGGCCTTTAAAGATGCAAAGTTTCTTTTTTACCACTTGACCTTTTTGTATAATCCAATCTGAGGCGATGCAGACTCGATACTGCTTTTTTTTAATCGCGTTTGGTTTTAGTGGTCTTTTTCCAAAGCTATCTGCAATGCTGACAGCTGTTACCTGGCTGTTCAAATCACCAGGATTTGGGGTGAGAAAACCCAATGGTGTGTTTTACAGCAGAATTGTGCTTTTTGTGGTATTATTTTGGTATTGTAGGCTTTAATTCTCACCGACAAAAATATCAGTCTTGTGCCATTTCTGCAGACCTTAGGGACTTGTAATTGCCTGCTGCATTGAACAAAGAACTCCACCTAGGGGAAATTTCCACTTCTGTGTCCAAATCCTGAGCAGAAACAGCTCAGGAAAATTCCAGTCCTGAGCCTGTGGCCTTCAGTTTTCTTTCAGTTCCTAAAACTCCACTTGCCAGTAAGTGTTAGGAAATGAGCTTCCCTATGAAAGCGAGGATACGCGATGCCTCTTCTGAGCCTCAAGAAAAGCTTTGCTGGGTGGGACCTTTATTATTTTATTTTTTTAATTACACACTGCTCCTCCTTCAGCACCTTGTGGAGGAGGGATTAATGCCCTGCCTTCCAGTCCCAGCTGGATGCTGCTCTTAAAAAACTCTACTTTTCGGTTATCTGTGTGTCTTTTGGAGACTCCATCTCCTAAACATCACTTATTCCAACTGTACCATCTGCTTCTACAAATACACTTAAACCATTTCTGTGTTTTTTGGTTGAAAATATAAGAGAAATACGCTGTCCCTTTCTTGTTAGAACAACAAAGTCCTTACCTCTGCTTCTAAGCTGGGGCCTTTCAGATTCTTCTCATTAACTACTTAGGTTCTCTAAATTGACGTAATCCTTTAGATGCTCTCACTCTACTTATGGGCAGTAAAACTTAGTGTCATTGATTTTTAGTTCGTGCAGTCAGCACCTCTGAAACATGTTGTTAATTTAAGATAATGCTCACTCTTAATCGGAAAGCTTCAAATACTTATAATGCCCTAAAAACCATTCTGCTAAGGCTTCCAGTTCGGAACTCTACTTGAACTTGCAAGATTGCTCCTTTTTTCTCCCAAAAAGTGTTACCTACACCCCTGTTCTGATTTCTCTACCAGCAGTGAGTTTGTCACGGGGAAATGGAATATTCTATCATGAGTTTTCCCTTATTGTATACCTTAAATGGAGTCCTTGGGGCACTCGGGACTATATTAATTTTATACTTTCCATTTCAATATTTTCATTTTCAGCTTTTCGCTCCAGGTGCCAATAAG